ACCCTATTATAGTCCTCCCCATGGTCAGAAACCCTTCTCAGTCACAGGTGCTGATTGTTTGGAGACGCATAGGAACCCTCTTCAGCTGATTAAAGTTACAGAAGCTGAATGCAGTTACATAAACATGGGGAGGTTGGAGGTGAAAGCATAGGGATGAAACCCACATCCCCAGTTCTTAACATGATGGCTGCAATCTCCTTCATGTGTCCATATTTTGAATTCTGGAATTGTAAATTGGTTGATGAAATCACTGAGAACACTCCTCAAATTATTATAAACCCTTTCTAAGGTCCCCTACTTGTTCTCTGCTTTGTTGATTTTTAGCACCAGGCAAAAGCCTTTGGTAACCAAGCCAGGCATTCAAGCAACCCAATTTTACTGCATATATAATAAGTTAATATATGAAAATGTGAAAAGATATTCCTTTTCCACAGGAAAATCATACAAGAAAAGAACACAGGATTGCTTTAAAACCAACCAAGCAAAAGCATAAACCACATCACAAGGAATAAATAACTTCCTAGTACACACAACAATTTAGGGTGTAAATACATTACTATTTCCCTCTCCCACCCAATAAATAAGGATACCTCTTAAACAGGGCCAGTCTTACCATTAGGCAAAGAAAGGAGTCACCTCAGGCAACAGATGATGGGAGACAGCAGCAGCGTCTTGGAAGAGGTTGAATCCATGCGGATTTCCTGTACCCTCTGAGCTAGCTTCACGCTTCAGGTGAGGTGGAAGGTGATGCTCCATTGTCCATGTGCCATTTTCTCCTTTGTCTCCAGCAGGGAAGATGGCTTGTGCCTGCCCAGTTCTTAACATGATGGCTGCAAGGAAAGCAACTTGCCCTCTGCCACCTCAGTGATGAAAGGCTACTGGAATGCTCTCCCTTCGCTTCTGGACTTTCATCTAGCTTCTCTGCATCTTCAGTATATAGGTGCCTGAACGGTACATAAATGTTGAATACAAGCACATGCACCTTCACACACTTGTGTGTGTGTATAAAGTAAAAATATCCCTGCTGCTCTTAACATGTTCATTTCCTGCTCCAAATGCTAGTATTCTTTCAGGATGTGGGTTGTAGTAGTGTGTTGTTGTAGTAGTGTGAATTGTGCAGGGCAAGAGGAATGTAACTATTTATTTGCCCCAGAATCTAGTTCCTCTCATCACCAGTAAAGCTACGCAATGAGCTAGCATGTCGAGTCACCTTTGCTAAAGGGGAAAGGTATGGGCCTGTAGCTATGAGATGGGTGACCACATGTGGAAGTGGAGCCAGGGGTTGGACTTGATGGTCTTATAAGCCTCTTCCAACTATAGTACTATTCTATTCTATTCATCAGGAATTGGATCCAGATTGTATCAGAGCAGACCCATTGAAGTCATAACTAACTTAAACACTATTGGTTTCAGTGTGTAAACTGTATCCAACTCTGTTGTTTAATGATTCAGCAGAGCTGGGGTAACATAACTGCCATCTAATCTACTGAATAAATAACTCCTTGCTCTCTATATGCTGCTGCTGAGTCAAGGGCCAGCTTCAATGGAAGGCATCCTTAGATACCTACCCAGGGTCTGTATCCCACCCCAGCTGTAACCCATTCATAAGCATGCCTTGGAGTTGCTTCTCCTCTTTACTATTTGAACTAGTTTGTTGCCCTGTCTGTTGCTTTGGCCCAGACAATAGTGATGGTGAGAAGACAGAGCACTAGGTGCCCCTGCCTATTATTCACCGATTCTTCCTGCCAAGGAAGCAAGTGCTGGCGATGAAATTGCAGAGGAGCAGCAATGAAACTGGGGACAATAGCAGTGAGATGGTGGACTCTGCCCAGGATTTGCTCAGGAGCAAAAGCTTGCAGCCAGCACTGATCCAGTTGATAGTCCTTATCTCTGTAATGAAAGCCTGCTTTGCTCTACACACCACTGAGAACGGCTTGTGTATGGTTACCGACCCATAACAGACTAGCCATCCAACCTCATTACGTGAGTTCAGAATAATGTTTAAGTTGGATTAATTTTAAATGGTTTGTTATTTATCATTATTTGGCTTTTCCACACAGCCTTCCTGTTGGAACATTATCCCCAGCCAACCAGCCAAATGTGGAGTGATGGGAGTTGTGATCTGGAAGCCACCTGGTTGCTGAAGGCTGATATCTATTCAAAGAAAAAGTAACTTTTTGGTGGATATAGATAGGCCTGTTGGAATGTCTAAAGTAGCTCTTTGGATCCGTTTATCATTCAGGGTGGGACTACAGTGAATGTGTTTAAATGTTTCCAGGAATCCAGATGTTGAGCTCACAGAAATCCAGACACTGATATCACAGTAAAGGCAATATCAACAATATCAGTAAATGTCATAGGTAATGCACCTCTTAAGTAAAGTCCTTTATGTTTATAAAAATAGTACCGGAATCTGCTTTGCCACATTTACTATGAGAATGATCCAATGGAATGGAAGCTCTCTTTGACCATGCTTGTAAAATGTGAAGTGGCAGGTAACAATCAGCTTATTATCCACTCTAAAAGTCTGTGCAGATGACGTGTGTGCTAAGGAGAAAGGCTGCTTCTCAATAAGATTGCATCCTACATAGATACATGTTATATAACCTGATATTCCTCAGTTGAGTGTGTTTTTTCCTCAGCTCTGAAAGTGAACAAGTTTTTCTTCCCCCTTCTCCTGCTGAAGATGAGCCTGTCCGGACGGCTGAGGGCATGGCAGGGGCTGCGGCCGGGAGTGCGCGATGGAGCGTTTTCACGACCCGTGATTGCGGGTGCCTTCGTAGCGCTCGTGTAAGCGTCAATGTGATCGTGCTTTAGAAGGCCACTGCAGCCTCCTCGTGCGGCCCGCCCTGGCCCCCATCCCGGCCACCGCCCCACCCCCGGCTTCTCTGGAGGGTCCCCGCATTCCCAGGGGAAGCGGGAAAAGGCACACACGAAGTGGCCTTCCCAGGCGCAGTGTCGATTGTTTTTCGTTCTGACGAGAAGTTCGCCTTTTGGACACCGGGTGGCGCCAGAGCTCGCTGATCGCGAAAGGCACTGCGGCGGATTTTCCGGCTCCATTTAAAATTACTGCGGAGAAGAGAGGAGGGGGAGGGAGGAGAGGAGGAGAAACAAGCGATGGAGCAGCCACTAATGAAAAGACAGATTCCGCGACAACTTGCTTTAATGACAGCCATCCATCACACATGCCCCAGTATGAAAAGCGATCGCATTTTATTATCCCACGGTAGAGGAGAATTGCCATTTTTCGCGTAGCAAACGCTTCCCCTCGCCTAGTCAAACGGGTTGTGCTGTGTTGCAGGCGTCCATGTGACAGCAGGAGGTGCACCTTTATATGGCGAAAGCCCAGCAAACCTAACACCAGGTGTGTTACTGTGTCGGCGTGTTTTGCTTCCCTCATCGGGCCAAGGAAGGTTTATAGAAACGTATCTCAAATCGAATGACCCTTACTCGATTTCGCACATTCTTCAGCATCCCGCTGAAGACAGAAAGGACTGCAGGCCGCACCGGGGGACCCGCAATGGCCAAACTTACTGCAGGAGCCTGAGAGGGAACCTCTGTTGTGTGTGTGCACGCACGCGCGCCCCCGAGAAAAAAGGAGCGAGAACGCCTCCCAAAAGATAGCTTGCTTTTTATCGTTCTGCCTCGTCCTCCTCTTCCTACCCCCCCACCCCCCTACACGCACGGGCAGGGAGATGTGCAAAATCCCCTCCCCACTGAAACCACGCGCGCGCGCGCACACACACACACGCGCGAGCCGATCTTCGAGATCCGTTTCAAACAGGTCCATTCGTTTGCTATGCAGAGCACGTCTTTCGGAAGGAGGTGGGGCGGGAAGAAAGAGCATCACGTCGAGTATTAGCACCGCCAGCGCCAGCCACGCCGCTCGGCGCAGGGAGGAGGCGGTGGCTGTGGAGGGTGAAAAGCCAAAAGCAAAAGAGGCGCTGAGGTATTTCTCGGAGGGAGACGCGCTCCGTCGCCGCGCGCGCGCTCCCGCCGCCCGCCCGCCTCTGTGTCCAGATTCCTGCGTGGCTATTGGTAACTCGTTGCCAGTACTCAGCACTACACCTCCCTTCCCGTCTTTTCCTTTCTTGGCTGGTTTTTTTTAGGCGGATTTTTTTTTTTTTTTTTTTTTGGTGGAGTTTCTACCCCCTCCTTGCGTCAGCGTCACGTCACTTGACCGGTAGCAGCTCCTGGGTTTGGGGCTGGAGCAGGAGCTCGCGTCGCTTTATTATCAGCGGCCGGTGGAAAAGGCGGAGGGAGAGAAGGCGGCGGCGGCGCGTGTCACAGGGTATGTGTGAGTAGTGCGTGAGGGGCCACGAAGCGCCTGCCTCAGCTCCTTCTCAACCCCGAGGTGCAGTGGCAAAGGGGAGCGGGGCAGCGGGAGCGGAGCGGGGCTGGGCGGCGGCTTCCCCTAAGGAGCGCAGCCCTAGGCAGGAGCCGCGGCTACCTGGCGGAGGGGGAGATGGGCTCGGGATGCTGCGCCGTGAGGCGGAGGAGGAGGAGGATGATTCTTCGTCTTTCCTCATCCTGGCACTGGCGGTCGCGCGCCGCCTTCGCGCCAGCAGCCATGGCCCGGCGGGCGCGCGCCGCGGGCGCCCCCTGCTTGCAGGGCGGGAAGCGTGGCGGGCGCCCGGCGCAGGCAGCGGGGGGAGGAGGAGGGGCGGGGAGCGCGGGACGCGGCGCCGGTGGCATCGCGGTGAGCCCGGCCGGTCTTTCCGGCAGCCTTCACGGAGCGTCTCGCTTTCTTTGCAGCGTCCGAAAGCGCCTCTCGCGCCGCAGCGCCACGAGGGCTTGCACCACCGGCCGACGGCGCCTCGACGGTTGAGGCGAGGACGAGGCAGCGGCCGCCACCGGACCGACGCGGCGAGCAGAGGATGCCCGAGTGACCGGCTCGGGGTCGGGGCAGCCACGCTGGCTTGACTGCGCTTGGCGGGCGGGCGGGCGGGCGGGAAGGCAGGCGGGTGCGCGATCGAGCGGACGAGGGAGGAAGAAGGCGCGGGCGGCGGCACCGGCACCGGCGACATCGGCATGGGGCCCTGGCCCAGGACGTGGTGGTGGTGGCGGCGGCAGCAGCGGCGGCTGCAGGGCTCCCCGCGGCCGACGGCGATTCGCTTCTGGAGCTTGTGCTGGCTGCTGCTGGGCGCCTGGCGGGGGCTGCTCGCCTCCGCCTGCCCCATCCCGTGCGACTGCAGCCGCCCTGAGCGGATCTGGTGCAGCGAACCCACGCCAAGCCTCGCGGCCTTCCCGGTGCTCGGCAAGAGGAGCGAGCGAGAGAAAGTCACGCACATGTGAGTGAAAGAGCCGCCGCGCTTGGGCCGGGGTCGGCGTGGCGCAGGGAGAGGGCGACGAGCGAAACCGACTGACGGTCCTTCTCTCTATTTAACTTTTCCATATCTTCGCACATGCATACTAAATCGAGCAGCCTTTTAAAGATTGCCTCTGCTGCTGGCACGCATAAATGATGCAGACAGGTAGTATCTTGCTTATTTATTTAAATAACGCCCAGGTTTTTATGCGGAGCATACATACATTGCCCAGTGTGAACTATTTCTTTGTGGGGTTCAGTTTTTAAAAATTCCTCAAGGTTCCAATAATAAACGCCTGGCTACAGACCCATGCATGTTCCTTTTCTGAAATACCAGGAATATGCCAAGCACAGCCTTTCTTGTCAGATGATGAGAATTCAGACTAAGCATATCTGTTCTGCCTTGAGGTTTTTCTAGTTCCCACTCCAGTGGACAGCTTCCGTGTCTCTGATGAGACATGCATCCCTCTAACGTTTACAGCCACCTGAAGGAGGATGGAGCCAGAAGAAAGCAGCTACTATGTGTGCAGTGTGCAGAGCTGGTGATAATCCATTGTAGCTAATAGATATGAGGGCACGCTTGTGTACTGAGCTGCACCTCTCTAGAGTGAGCAGGGGGTGTTTGTTCCCCCTTTCTAATCCCCATATTACTTTTGGCATCCCTTCAGCAAGTCTTTCAGCTCTACCAAAGCATTTCAGTCCATTGCTCCATGTTAGAAAAGGTTTCCTAGTAATAGGCAAATAGATTCCTCCCGAGGAAATTCTCCTTAAGGAAACTGTCTAGAGATGTTTCCGAAAGGATGTGTAAGAGGAGATGGGTCTCTGTATAGCAATGCACTTGCTCAGAGGCAACTAGCTGGAAGCCTAAAAGCCTGAGTTGATCTAATTTAGATCTGACTTTCACCAAGATACAATTTTGGAAGCATTTAGCTTATAAATCTTAATAGCCCACTGTACAATTTCCTGGGAATAAACTAGATGATAAAGCAATAAAGCAAATAGATTGGTGTTGGGTTTAGTACAAAGCTAGAGTTCTGTTGCAAAGTGGACTTTGCTTGGAAGAGACTAGGTAACTTTTAAATTCCTACTTATTAGTGACCTTTCTCTAATTATGCTGATTTGCTGAATGAGAGGGAACAAAGCAAATAAGGGGATTTGGGCAAGTTGTTTGTGGCAGGTAGGTGCAAAATAGTTTATGGTAAAATAGTAAAAGCTGTTTCTTTGCATTTGCAGTTATATTGTATGGCATGCAAACAAAAAATTTGTAAGTAAAAGCCATTTGATCTGATTGCATATATGTTTACTTTTTTACAAAAAGAGAAGGTAGGTCAGATTTATTTTTTTTTCCAAATTTTAATAGCATGGAATATATACTCTGAGTTCTTGACAGCTTTGGTCTCATTTAGCTCACTGGGACTTCTGCTGAATTAACACTGGATACAACCCTTTGTCCTTACTTGTTAACACGTGTGGGTTTTTTTTGCTTCTCTTTGCACACATCGTTCTGTGCAAAGAATATAAAGAATTAGGTAATGTTGGTAATGCCTGCAAATAATTGTTTGCCTTCCCTTCTTCTATAATAGATTACACCCTATGTCCAAAATGGTGGGGTGGGTCACCCCATGGTGAAGGCACAGGACAATTGGTGGTGGAGCAATGCTATGCCACCACCAACTAAGAATTAGGTGGGTAGAACGCCTGCTGGAAGAGGACCTTCACTGATCTGTATTGGTCCTGTGATGCGACTGCTTTCCATACATTCATATTAGATGAGAGCGCTCAAGAAAAGCTGCTGTGGTATTCTAAGAGTACAGTGTTGTACTTGTTTGAGGATGGGATCAGAGGATCTCTGTTTCTCTTCTAATATGGTAGTCAGTTGAGAGCCCAGCCTGCTGTCCCTGTGCAAATGCCCCACAAGCATCTGCACATGCTCATTTGCAGAAAAATGAGCTGGTGCTGCATGCAGGAAGGGATCGGTTGGGGAGGTGCATGGGGGCGGGTATCAAGGACATAAAGCGTAGAAGAGGACCTCCACTTTAAAAAGCCTTAAAAACCCCCGGCTTAAACATAGTCTTACTAGGTAACAAAATGACAACTCCTGGATTCTTTTAATTACTGTTTTATAGCTTAAAGTTATGAACTTTTCCTTTGGATCGTAATGTGTTTGGTCAGGTCTCATTTGTTCCAGAACAGGTAACTGATTATTGTCACTTGCAGTTGTAAAAGCAGGAGGTGCACAAGATCACTAAAGGCATCTTGTTCACTTACCTGCTTTTGGTGTGTTGTTGCCTGCATAATCTTTGCCATAAAAGGTTGTACTCAAAAAGCATTTCAGGAGTCTCCTTTGAATTTTTTTAAGGCTGAAAAATTAATTAAATGAGGTTTCACTTGTGGTCATTTCTTTGTTCTGGACTGCCTTTATACGGTTTATTGTAGTTCTTCTGCAGTATTTGCAAGTTCCTGCGCATGGCAGAAAGAACAATTTCATTGGACATCCTTAGAAGAGCTTCGTATTTTGTAGCTCCTTGCTTGACAATAAAAAGAATACACTTTTCAGGAAGTGATAGAGATGGTCTGTTTTAATGGATTTTTCTTCATTTTTAGGATAAGTTACACTGATTAAACAAAAGGCTTTCACAGTTCCTATCAAGCATCCTTATTAAAAATTATCCTCCTGTAAGTCCTTTGACTTTTTTTCTCTAATTTGAAATGTAACTGTGAAAGTATGTGTAAAGTTAGATTGATTTTTTCTTTGCATATCTGAAATGGAGCAGTATCTCTTTCAGAGTTACCATAACTTAATAATTTGATTTAGATACCTTTTTCTACATTACACCATTTGCTTGGCTTTCTCATAGAACAGTGGGTTAATTCCTAGGAGATCCTATTGCACAGTTTTAAGATATAAAGAATTGAAATGAACCTTGACACTAAAAGATGAGCAGGCCAAGGCTGTTCGTTAATACTCAGTGTGAATTAAACTCAACAGTTGCTTTGTGTCTTTGTATAGCACCTGTGTGGTAGCTGTAGCTCAACTAATCAGGGAGTAAGTATGTTGCTTTGAAAACTGTATACAAAGTGAAAACATATAATTGAATGCTTCCAGTGTGGTATGCCGTCTAATAGGACGTTAAGCAGGAACACAATAGACCCTTTTTGTGCAATATCTTAACTGCCATTCATATTGCAATTATAAACTAGTTGAATTTCACATACAAAATGTGAGGGTCTTTGTTTAAGGTGATATTAGTTTTCCTTTAAAGATGTTTTGGGATGATGTCACATTATCTAATTTCTAGATCTTGAAACTATTATTTGGTGGATCTGGGGAACATTTAAAACCTGGTTACTGGCATCACTGGGTATTTTCAGTTCTATAGCATTGTGATTCTTGAAAGGGATTCATTATGAAAAATGGAGCATTCACTCAGCTTCAAGCTTCATTTGTCATATACCTGGTGGTGTGGTACAAGGCAAAACAGTGGGAATGGAATTGCTATCTAATGGTGGAGCAGAGTAGTTTATATTCAGCAGAAAGGACATCAATTCTAAATTTACAGATTCTGAGATAGCATGAAAGAGGTTCAGCATTTCAATTTCCAGAAGTTAAGATTTTCCTTTCCTCACAAAGCTATTCCATACTTACTGGGACTGTTTGTATGACACAGCAGCTGACTGTGAGGCTATGGTGTATGTGGGTGTGTGCGGCTGCCATTTTAAATATGCAGTTCTCTCTCAAGGGTTGTTACGTTGTGTGAACCCAGTGAGTGTAGATTATGGGGAGCTTAAACAACTCTCTCATAATCTCTCTCTCTCCCTCTCTCTCTCATAATCTATGGTATGTGTTAGGGTTATGTGAGGGCTTGTTTTTTCTTTGTGTAAGTTACACATAATTCTTCCATGACATTTTATTATTTAATTTGTTTATTTGATTTATATTCCACTTTCTTTCAATGACCTAAAACTGGCTTTCATAATCTGCTCCTCCTGCTCTGACATGACATGACAAACCCTAAGCAGGGGATCAGCCTGGCACTCACAGGCATCAAAGCTTGGCATAGGACAGATAACCTATAATGAGCCGTGGTCTGGTCTTTGAACTCAGTCAGTGAAAGATAAATCCCCATTGGTTTTATTTGGTTTGGGATTGGGCTGATAGAACCATTTGGGGGAGCAAGGAAATATGTAGATTTCTGAAATATGTAGATCAGATGTGATTGTAAAAGTAGGAGGGCTTTGCATAATTATATATTTTAAAGATTTCTCTTAGGGTACTCACCAGCTCACATGCCTATTTTAATGAACACAACAGACATGTTCTTACAAACATATGCTTATAATGAGATTGTGTTTGATCCTTCTCCTTGGGGTCCTGGCGTAGGCTTGAAAAGCTTCTGTGTATGTATGCACACTGGCTATGTTTATTGCCCCATAATGGACCATAATCTACTTCTGACATGATTGTTTTAGGTTATTGGTTACACAAATATTCTGATCTTTGGAGAAGTATACTGTGCTGGGAAATTTAATGCAGACCTTCATAGGTTCTTCACAGTTAATGAGCTGAGGGACAAGTATGAGAGAACTGAAAGAGTTCTAAGGCAGAGAAAGAGAATGCAGAATCTATACTACAGACATTCTGAAATGAATATTTTGTCAGGCCAGGATTTCTGCAGCTAAAATATCAAGATTGCCAGTGACCTGCTTAGATATCTTGGTTAATACTTCCTCTTGTACTAAAATATGCAATTATAGTAGTATGTGTGATGTCCACAGCTCATCCTATCATATTAGAGTCCGTTGTAGCTAAGTTTAGCTGTTCTTGTGTTATTCCATTACTACTGTGATTTATATCTATTCAGTCAACAAAAGTTTGAAATTAATTGCTCTTTTTAAGGATTGTTTCCATATGCCAACAAAAAAGCAGGCAACTTTTCGATTCTTCTGCCATAGTGTTGAAAAAAAAAAAAACAGATTGTGTAT